AATGATCTTATCCCAATAAGACATCGTTAACCTACCATAAGAGATAGGCACTCCCAGATAATTAATAGGGAAGTAGTCAACCTTACAGCCTATAAAACTCTCTAACTCATGGACCAAATAATTGTCACACTTAAATGCAATCACCAAAGTCTTATCAAAATTAACCTTGAGACCCAATGCTACCTCACAATACTGTAGGAAGGTAGTAATGTTATTCAACTATAAGCACACCACTTCACATAAAATACGTGCCGTTAGCACATTAAAGATGAGACACACAAGGTCCCTGATCGGAAATCTTAAAGCCAAAGAAATTACCCATTTCTTCCACATTTCGAGGGAGTATACCGAAGCACTCAGCATACAAAGTAACAAGGAAGGGTGATAACAGGTCTCCTTTATGTAGCCCTCTGAAAACATTGAAAAACCAGTCAGACTTCCCATGTAAATAATGGAAAAATAGGCTTAAGGCAACCATCACAAAATCCAGCCTCTCCATTTCTCCCCAAATCCCATATTCTTCATAATCTCCAACGAAACACCTCATTCCACCATGTTATTAACTTTATCCATATCTAACTTAATCACCACCTTAGATTACCACTCGATGCCCTTGAATGAATACATTCACGCGCTACCAACACACTATCAGCAATCAGCCTATCATTGATAAAAGCATACTGTAGTTCTGAGATGACCCGAGGCAACACCACTTTAAACCTCTCAACTAGAACCTTAGCCACAAATTTACATAGGATTGTGAGCAGATTAATAGGATGGATATCACGCAAACTTGTAATTACTGATTTCTTAGGTATTAAAGCTATAAAAGTTGCATTCACACCTTTAAATACTTGTCCTCTACATAAAAAACCCCTCACAATTTCTAACAACTCACCTGAAACCAAATCCCAAAATGTGTGAAAAAACACTAAAAGGAAACCATTTGGCCTAGTCGACTTATCACATGGTAGCGCAAAGACTGCTCTTTTAAGTTCCTCTATAGTAATGTAGCGTAAAGACTGCTCTTTTAAGTTCCTCGAAAGTAATATATCCCTCAAGCTAGCTACTATGCTCTAATGTTAGCACTTTGAAAAGGCACCCGAGCCATTATAGGAGTGCAAATAACATCATATGAAAAAGCTTTTTTTAAATAACTAATAATAACCTCTTCCATCATATTACTATCATTCGAGTTAACCCCTGGGATGGTCATTCAAGATAAATCATTTTGTGTTCTTCAAGCACTCGCAATTGAATGGAAAACTTGGTGTTGAGGTCGGCTTCTTTAAGCCATTTGTTCATAGACCTTTGCTTCCAATACACCTCCTCAACTCGACGAAACTCTTGTAAAGATTTCAAGTTACTATATCTCTCCATTACTACCTCCTATGATAATACACCAGAAAACTTGATGTTGTGATCAATAACTTCAATTTCCAAAAGAACCTCTTCAATTTCATCTCGTAACATTTATGGATGTCCACTCACAATCTTCTTCTCATAGATGGGTACTTGGAATATTTATGGAAATTTTTTAAAATTTTGGAATTTAAAATGGTTTATTGTATTTTTTACTAGCAGTATAACATGCATCGTGCATTTAACCCCATGGCATCCAACTCTGTGCAATTTTTTTTTAGGTAGAAATAATGTGCTATTTAAAATTGGACGCGGTTAGCATGTGGGCAGCCCGCATATTGTAGAAATGTGGGCTTGGCAATAAATATATTTTTAAAATATAATTTAATCTTAAATTTTAGAATATATATATAATCTTTAATATGGAGGTCATAAATATAAAAACAAAATTGAAAACTATGAATAATAATTATATTAAAAAAAACATTTGGATCGTTAGCTACAATTGTTTTTAGATGGACCACCTATTTGCATCCATCTTAAAGATGGATGCTTTATACTTCTGAACCGCATATTGTAGAAATGCGGTCCAGCCCGCATGAAACAATTGTTCTTCTACAAGTCCATGTAAAAATGAGTCATATCTTAAAAATCTATTTTTGAGATCCTGAATATGAATAAATAAATAATCTTTGAAAATTTAAAATAATAATTATATTAAAAAAATATTTGGATACTTAATTTCAATTATTTTTAGAATGGGGCTTCCAGGCCGGGGTGTGTGTTATAATGCTTGGCCTTCTGCGTTGGACGCGAGACACAAAGGGTGAGCTTCATTGACTATCTATTTGTATCCATTTTTAATATAGATGCTTTATACCTTGTGGACCATAATGCAGAAATGCAATCCCCACCGGATGAAACAATTTTCCTTTAGGGCGCATTTGTTTTTCTGAAATACTTATTTCATAAATAAATATTAATAATTTCGCAAAAGTTATGCATTTGACACGTTGTTTCCATCTAAAAGTTCAAAAAAAAAATTTCTAACAAAGTTCACATTCATTTGTTAAAAACTTAAAACATTAAAGTAAGTGCCTAGGGGCATAGGAACTTGGTATTTCATAACATTTTTGTTGATCACTATTCACTATGCATAAGATAAATATATAATATTAGTATTATTAATATGATGTAATATAATAAAATATTATATCTTATATTATATTATATAATATATAATATTTTTATTATGCATATATAATGTTTATATTATTAATTATATTTAATATATGTAATATATAGTATTTATATTATTATAATATATATATATATATTAAGAAATAAATATATTATAATAAATATTATATTATATGTTATATATAATACAAATATACATTAGTAAAATATATAAAATACAGTACATTATATATTTATATTTGTATTGTTAATATATGTATGTTATCAAACACAGTACCTAAACTTTCTTAACATTCCAGCAGGTTATCAAATATAATATCCAAAACTTATTTAAACCTTTTAGAAAAAAACATTTAACTCCAAACAATTTAAAAACGTTCAACTTTCTAAAATATATCTTTCAGAAAAACAAATGTGCGCATAGAGAGAATATTGAGACTGGTTGGGAGGACTAAATTCAATAACATGATGAAGTGAGGGAGCAGAAGAGTTGCGTCGACTACTTGACTTAAATGGCCAAGAGAGCTTGGGAGGTTAATCTCAAAATACTCACGAGAAGAGACATGATCATGAGTTGGAAATGATTGCAAAATGTAAATGGATATTTTGATAAAATTTCCTAAAATAATAAAAAAATACCATAAATAAAAAAATTGACCAAATAAACTCTTAGATGTTTTATAGGAATATATTGGTCAATTTTTTTGTTTTTGTCAAAATTTTTGTTCATGATAATTTAGTTTATTTTATTTAGTGTGCCACACAAAAATGAATCTATACACCAAATTTTAGTTAAATATAATATTAAAAAATAATAGAATTTAGAAACATGATAAACATTTGCACGTTCGACACGCTTAGTTTAATACGATTTGAAAGGTGTTTGATTTTGATGGTTATCACAGTAAAGATGCCAAGTTCTCCGTGACTTTGGAGTCATGGAAATAAGATTCCCCAATTCTTCAATTTAATGGGATGATGGGCTGGGAGAGCGCAGATCGCAGCTCTATCTTTGGCGAATATGCTATGCTACCTTGGGAGCAGGGTGTACATCTACTCCGTCGGTCTGAAGACCTACTTGATAGATTTTTTTTTAATTTGTAATTTTGAGAACCATCTAATAATCACTAGATGATTATTTTTAAAAGAAAAAAAAATTGAATTTTGAGTTTCTTAATAATTACATATCGCTCTAAAAATAGACGGTCTCTATTCAATCTTGAGACCATTTATTAAAGTTAATCTATTGAATAGAGACCCTTTAATAAACGGTCTCTATTAAATCTTGAGAAAGCGCAATTAGCAATTAGGTAATTGTTTTTATTAAAGTTAATCTATGGATTGAAGAGGTTGCATCGCAAAAAACACTGGGGTCTTAAAATCGATAGTAAGCGAGGTCTTATTCAAGGGAGTAAATGGACCGTACACCCCCATGAGATATAATATATTTGAGAAATGATTTCATGCAACTGTTGTATTATAATGTAATGAAATAGTCTTAAAAAATCATATTAGGACTATTTGTTTGACCCAACTTTTAAAATATAAACTCTTTTCATTCGAACAATAATTTTTTTTTTTTAAACGCATTCTATATATTTTTTTTAGCCCAATTAACATAAGCTATCCATATTTTGTGAGATACATAGATCTAGGTCTTAGAAAGATCTTTTTTTTTTGAAGTTTTTTAGATTATTTTATAATCATTAGATTAACAATGTAAAAAATGAAAAAAAATGATATTGAATTCATAAAGGCCTAGATCATGAAATTCACCAAATGGATGGTCTAGATTCATTGTTGGAGGTGACTCATTTTAACCATATATAGCATACAAATTAATTTTTGTTTTTTTTATTTTTTTCCATATTAAATATGGAGATAAAGAGAGCAACATGATATCATTTCTTAATATATTTTGGCTGGAATAAGGGATTATCTACAAATATACAATTTATCTTTTGTATATAGAGGTCACAATCTTTTTTGTCATTTAAATTTCAAAATAAATGATTGAAAGGGCGTTATTAAATAGATACAAAATTCTTAAAAAATAGCAAGAAACTTGAAGACACACCTCAAGCCATTGATTTTGAGTATAAATGGTTGTGATCACCATGTACAAATGGCAAATCTTCCCTGTCTAAACAAGCCCCCTTAATAAAAGGTGCGTAAAGCTTTTCCAGTGTTTTTTACTCATAATTTCATTGTTCTATGGCGGTCATCGCCATCAACCAATTGATTGGAGGGTGATGGAGAAATGCTAGGTCTTTTAATAAATTTACAGTAGAGTCCCTCCCATCTATCACCGTCCAATCCATAACTGGGATTGTGATAACCGCATAAGTACAGTGGTCTGATGATCACATGGATCATCATACACGGACGCGAATATATCAAAGAGAGAGGGACTTCGGCAGTGGCGGGAAACCACGCTTTTCTATCTCTGTGTTCCCTCCGCCTGCAACCCTCACTCTGGGATCACAGAGACAGGGAAGAGATAGCCCTAACTTTCCCCCATTAGAGTTAGGGAAGAGAGAGAAAGAGAGGGAAGAGAGAGAGAGAGGGAGAAGATTAGCATAACTTTGCCCCCCATGGGAGAGGGATAAGAGAGTGACAGAGCTACTCCATCACTTTGCTCCATTAGACAGAGAGAGAGAGGGAAGAGAGAGAAAGAGAGAAAGAGAGAAAATGATGAACAAGAAGAGGCTGGCTACGAACCCTGCCAGTGTCCCGCCTCAGTCGAAGAAGAGGACGGAAGAAGAGGATGTTATTGATGAAATGGATGAAGATGTATTCGTCGAAGAGACCCTCCTCCTCAGAGAAGAAGAAGACCTCCTCTACCAGGATTCTGGTCTCTCCGCTCGCCTCTCCAAATGGAAGCGGCCTCAACTCTCCCCCCAATTCTCCCCTCACTCCACATCCATAGGTTCTTATATTCTTCCTCTTCTCCCTCTCACTTTCTCCAATTCTTCAAATTTCACGGTCTCTCTCTCTCTCCCTCTCTTTATCTCTCATGCATATTTCCAAAATTTCCACCTTTCCCAGTGTTTCAGCAACTAGAGATTGATTATGTGATTGGGGAAAGCCATAGACAACTCTTGCCTCAGGCATCTGGTCCTGTTGCCATTCTCCGAATTTTCGGTGTCACAAAAGAAGGTACGAATTACTTCGCCCCTCTCTCCCCAACTCGAGATACCTAACTCTTGTATATCAGACACAACTGCAGTCCCTTCTCCTGCTCAGTAGATATTTTGGCCTAAAAACCAGCACTTTTTGGCAGGTCACAGTGTATGTTGTCATGTTCATGGCTTCCAACCCTACTTCTATATCAGTTGCCCTGATGGTATGGGTCCGGATGACATCTCCAGATTTCATCAGATTCTTGAGGTAATGTTCGATATCTTTCACTGCCCACTTGTTTATGTTTCATATTACTGTTTTTTTCACCTTATGTTCTATTCTCACTAGTTTAAGGGAAGTAGTAGTTACTTTGATCTTGTTGGTATAACGCAGGGCAGAATGAGGGACGCTAATAGAAGCAGCAAGGCACCAAGGTTTATCCTGAGAATTGATTTGGTGCAGAAAAGGAGCATCATGTATTACCAAGAGCGAAAGTCACATGCTTTCCTAAAGATAGTTGTTGCTCTGCCGACTATGGTTGCTAGTTGTCGAGGTGAGCGGGGATTCTGTGCCTGTTTCCTGAGTTTGTACAGTATGGAAAAATGTACCTGTCAATCGCACACTACGATTGTCATTTTGTTGAGTATGTAGTTCCTTGCTACGGGAGGAATAGATTTTGATTACCATTTCATTTATCATTGGGCACTCTTCTGCCAAGGTTGTCACCACATTAGCTCGGAGCCTTGGGTTTTGTCTGATCACTGCATTCCCTAGAGAGTATCTCATCTCAGTGTTTTCTTTTTGGAAGATGATTCCTCAAATTAGTGGCAGTAAAAAGAAAAAAAGGTCTTCAGCTTATTTGGGTAGTTCTCCTACGATTAATAGTATTATCCATTGATTTTAGAGTCATATTTTGTTTTGGCATCACTCATGTTTCATTGTTTAAGAGCATCAACAGATGTAGACAAGTTGCATACCACTGTAAGCACATAGGCCAGATGAAGAAGCAAAAATATTAATAGAAACTAAGAAAATAATAAGAGGAGGAAACTTGAACATGGTGGAGACGAATTCTATTTGATTACATAACTTGGAAGGAGTCCTCTCGAAGTGTGCTGTGACATCTTACTGCAACAGGTGTCTATTACCTTTTTGTTATATTTGTAGTCCTCTCAGGAAAGCCTAACTCTTACTGCCACGTCTGATGCTTTTGAGAAAGTCCTCCTCGTCTTGGAATGGACTTGATGAACATTGTAAGATAACTCAAAGGCTAGTAACGAGTGACATTGCACCTGCCATGGTTGAGTTACATATTCGGTTGGGCAACAATAAGTCTCCATTGAATTGCACTTCAGTGGTCTTTTGCCACACATGGTCAGACTTCTCTAAATTGTTCAAAGGTTTGTATGACATGTCATTACCTGTATCATACGTGTTTTAGTGGACACGTCAAAGTGTATTCATTAATGTCCTTTTTACATTGGTTGAGAGTGGTTAAAAATCTGTATTCTTGTCCATTATTAGCAACATTTTTTTGACTTCTTTCAAATTTTTTTTTGCATTATTTCCATAGGGGGAATATTAGTTGTCTTCTTCATTGTAGATTGTAGACAATATCCAAAAGGTTATTGCCTCGCATGCAATAACAGTTCTTCCATTCTCTAAACTCTAGATTCTACATTGACTTCTCATAGAAGTCTTGGGAGAATTAAAACTTGTGTCTAGATTGGATCAAGCTGTCCAGATTGGATCAAGCTGTCCACTCACAATCATTCCAAACTAAAAACTCAGACTTGAATAGCAGTTCAATCCATCTTTCTTGGTGTTACCAGTGAGTTTTATATACTTCTCTTGAGTGAACTTTGTTTTGTAACATCAATATTGCCTTTTGGAGCAGACAAGATTTTTTTATGTTTAGTGAGCATTTAGGGTATCTATTCTTAAATGTGTTTAGATGTCTTAGGGCCCATTGGTGTTTGTGCTTTAATTCCATATCATGCATTGTTTTTCCTTTAGGGACATATACACACACACAAACACATAGATAGATACATACATACATACATACATGCATGCGTATATATTTTTATATCTACCTCTATACAAACATATGTATATATATATGTATATTTATATATTTGTTTGTAATGAGGTGCCATCTGATAGAGCATTTTTGGGTTATTATGATATATTTTAGGTTCTGACATGTTTTGTACATTTTCTTTTGGAATGTGTGCTAAGTAACAATCAAATGCTTTGTAAATTTCACATTATATGTTCCTAAATTTCTCTTTGACATTCCCAGGCATTTTAGAAAGGGGCCTCCAAATCGATGGTCTTGGTTTGAAGAGTTTCACCACATATGAGAGCAATGTTCTTTTTGCCCTCCGCTTTATGATCGATTGCAAGGTTGTTGGTGGCAACTGGATTGAACTTCCTGCTGGACAATATCAGAAGACAGCACGTAGTATATCTTATTGTCAGCTAGAGGTTGATTGCTTGTATCCTCTTGGGATATATGAGCTGTTGTTAATATGTGAAAGCAGATTTTGAGCTTTTTACCCAAAGATTTAGCAAATTTTTCTTTTGAGGGTCGTTTGCTTTTCCTTACAATGATATGTAGATACACTGTATTGATCAGCCACGCTCCGGATGGAGAATTCTCAAAAATGGCTCCATTTCGCATCCTGAGTTTTGACATTGAATGTGCTGGTCGCAAGGGACTTTTTCCTGAGCCAAGCCATGATCCTGTTATTCAGGTTGAGCCTGTTGTATGATATATAAAAAACCAATTTTTTATAGATTTCACGCAAAGCATGTCATAATGATGAACTATAGCTTACGCACTCTCACTTTCTTTTTCTGTTTTAATAATGGAATTTTGGTCAACAGGTGGCCAATCTAGTCACATTACAAGGAGAAGATCGTCCCCTCATCCGTAATGTTATGACTCTTAAGTCCTGTTCCCCAATTGTTGGAGTTGATGTGATGTCATTTGATACAGAGAGGGAGGTCTTACTAGCTTGGCGGGTAACTTATTATGCTTGGTTACATTCTTGGAGTTGTATTGTTGTTTGCTTTGTGTGGAAGCTGGTTGGTTGTCTCCGTCTCTTCTCTTGTTTAAGATATTTCTAACTGGTTTTGATATTGATAATAATAACAGGACTCCATCCCAACAAAGTTTTAGCTGGTTCTTCCTTTTTGACTGTCTTTTCTATTTTAGTGAAGCTTTATAGTCGTACATGTATTCTATTTCAAACAAAAACAGAACATATATTCTATCGAAACAGACATTCATTCACTTAGCTTGGTGTCTAAACTTGTTTCTCTTTCACTAGAAATGAATTACTTAAATAACTAGGGTATCCAGAGGGAATTCTAAAAGGGCAGTCAACATAATCATGAACTTGCTCTTTCTTAAAACACTGTACATTCTTTTCTTGCATCTTTTCTTCTCTACGAATGAGTGTGGGGAGTTTGTCCTTCACACACATGTTCATCTCGTGTTGCTTGTTTGTTACTTTGGGATTTTTTTTGTTTTCTGGAAATTTATCAAAATACTTGTGTGATGCTGTGCACATTATCCCCAAAATGAGTGAATCCAATGACCCTTATTTGTCTTCTAATCCATGATATTTCAAAGGAAAACACAATTCTCAAGTTGCTGGTTTGATCTGGTCAATAGGAAATCGCCATTGTTTTTGTGAGGACAACTACCTCTAAAGGCAGTAACGATAAGGGATAGCGATAAGAATGACATGCACATCATTCTAGCATGTTCTGCTAGTCAGCATAGCAAGAGGTCAATGGCTGTTATTGGGAAATGGTGAATAGTGCCATTTCTTTGTGCAGCAGAAAACAGTCACTATTTGTGAGTCTCTGCTCAATTGAAGACTGGAAATGTTGGTCTTTACTTTTGGATTTGAAGTACCAAATGGTTTAATATCATCTTGTATTGGGATGTGATCACATGATTTCTTTCTTTCCTTACTCTTGAAGTAGTGTGATAACTTACTATTGAGATTAGGCTTGTTTTTCATATTTTTTTCTAAATATTTCATATTTCAATGGGTGACCAAAGAGAGAAGGCTGTGTCATGAACTCGATTTAGTGCAGGCCTGAGTTCCCCTTTAGTTTAGTAGGTGGCAGATCTAGTAATGAATTTTTCAGGAGGAATTTGGTTAAATAAAAGGTTTTAATTTAAAAGTGGTTTAACTGTGTAATTTGAGATAAAGAAAGTTAAAACTTACTTATCGTGTACATGTTTAAAGTCTTGATTTTGGAATAATTTTCATTTGTATATGATTGTTATGGTTTATTTGAAATTAAACTTGGAGAAAAGAGTTGGAAAATTTTATGCGCAAAGTCCAACCATTAATCTAACAAAAAATTGACCAGAAGTTCTTGCTCTTAGACGAATTGTTTGAATTCAAATGAAAGTGGATCCGGATCTGGATCTGGATCTTATATAAAATTTTGGGTTCGGATCCAGATCTGAATATTCAGGATCCGATCAGTTCCGGATCTGGTGTATACTATTTGGATCCAGATCCGTACATGAGTGGATCCGGACCCGATCCGACCCATTCTCACCCCTACTGTTGTTGGTATCTATTATTGGATATTACTTATGGATAATTACTATGTGTTTCATCTATTCTTTATTTGGAGCATTCAAGTTTGGTACACTGGAACATACTTTTGTTGTACAAGTCCGTTATGCTTGGTAATTTGATCATGTATTCATTTTATTAGAATCAGTGCTCATTTATTGTCTTAAATGTTCCAGCCAGCTGTTTGTATTGGCTACTTTAACGCTATGCAGTAGATAGAATTGGTTTAGAGTTGGAGTTGCATCTAATTCCTGAATATTGGAGTCAACATATGGCCCCCTAGGGAGGATACTTTAGCTATCCTCCTAGGAAGCTTATTAATATTCCTCCTTGGGCATGTTGTTACTTCTCATGCATGGCCTGTTTACACTTGTTTCATGTGCATAACAGAAGAATTTTGGCAGGATTTCATTCGTGAGATAGATCCTGATATCATTATTGGATATAATATCTGCAAGTTTGATCTTCCATATCTCATTGAGGTACTCACTTCTCCACTCTTCAATGGAAACTGTTAAATTTGTGTTTTTATGAAGGCAATAAACAGGAAGTTATCATTGTTCAGTTTTTGTGGTATTTCATAATCTTGGTACATGGTACCATAATTTTATTTTCCTGCATGAAGTATAGGAGCCAATTTGAAAGTATGACTGTTGTGTGTAGCGGGCGGAGGCCTTGAAGATAACTGAATTTCCTATTCTAGGTCGCATCAGAAATAGCAGGGTTCGTATCAAGGACACCACTTTTTCTTCAAGGTTAGATTCTAATTTACGAAAAATGTATATTTACAAGTGTGCAAGTAATTCATTTGGTTATGTTGTTAGATTCTGATTAAAGAAGCTTTGGAAGCTCACCTTTCACATGATATGTGAAATAGTTTAACCCCCTGCAACGTGGAGGTTCACTTCTTTTATTCTTGCACATGGGGTTATGAGTTTGATTCTCTTGCTTTCCAGTATGCAGCTTAACCTTCAATTTATTGGCTATTTCCCTCTCTGTGAGTTGTCTTTTTAGTCTTTAGCATTTTGCCATTTACATTTTTCTTTGAGAATTGATCTCCTTTGTAATCTTGTAATTACTGTTCCTTTGTTTCCTTTCCTCTGTTTCTCATTGTTTCAGATTCTTTCATGTCTGTCTCTCGTCCCTACTTGTTGATTCGTTGTTCTATGTTGTGACCTTTAGTTCTACCAATTTCAGTTTTTCCTGAAAAGATTATATCAAGTTTTCTGGTTGTCCTATCCTTAATTGGGGGATTTTGTCTGACTATTCTGTGCAGCTGACTATTTGGTTATAGGGGACGTTCCTTCTCTTAAATCACTGTTTAAAAGGTTGAGTAATACTATTCTCCTCTTGGGCATCCATTACTGGTTTCCTAGTCTTTTGGAGTCTTCTGGAGAACTATGATGAGCTTTCCCTTACTGGAGTTCAGACCTCTTTTTGTGTGCCCAGGCGGTCAACTGGAGCCTTGTGTGTTTTCTATAGATTCTTTGCATGAAAGTGGGCAATGTGTCCCAAAGTTTGTTGAGAGTGTTTGGTAGAGACTCCACCCTGGAGCCTTTGATCTCCTTCCATGCATTCTTAGGTGTGGTTTGATGTTGACGGTTTATCCCATTAGCCTTTTCAATGTTTGGACCTTTTTGTTTGATTGGGTTGCAAGCTTGGGATGCAAGCCTAGATCTCTCCTCAAGGGTCAGATCTCATGAAAGTCTGTTCATGCTTCTTGATGATGGCAATGTGTTTTAAGGTTCTCAATGGAATTTTGTCATCTGGATTCCCTGATAAGTACAGGAGGAAGTTAAGTAAGATTCTTCGCAATGGTCCTACTGATGGGCCTGGGATGGATAGGTGTTGGTCATGATTAAAATCTGGGCTTCCTTGATCAATCATGAGGAGTCGATTGGGTAGGCTGGCAAAACAAAGAAGAAAAAATACGATAAAGATTTTGTTAAGAAGAGTAGAATTGATGCAGTCTTTGTCGAGGAGTCTGGCTTGGTTAAGATTTATTTTTAGGTTGTTGCAGGACTTTGGGGTGACTCTAGGTGTGGCTAGACTGGCTTACCGGCATATCATTTCCAATGTATCACACTGTAAAGGGAGTGGTAGTAATTATGCTGTAAGTCTTCATGTAATTATAACAAGAAGTCTTTGGTTCACGTAATCCAGTTCATTATGTGGTCTACTCCAGTTTAAGTGCTGATAAGAACTTTTGCTTCCTTTAATCTTCTGTAAGCTTTCAATAGGTGGACTTACAAAGTGTAGAATTTCAACTTTCGTGTTGTTTTGCAAATACTCTGATAATTACAGTACATGACATGACATGTTCATCTTTCTATATAAATGCCCTGTTTACCTTGTTGCAAGAAATGGACATGTACTCATGTTTCTATGCAAATGCTTGTTAACGATGTAGCAAGTCAGGGACATGTGTGTCAGCTTCCAACATGGATATTCCCGTCAGGAACACTCAATATTGGCCTTTCAGACACAACATATTCATGCATAATTTAGGAGAAAAGTGGGGGGTGGGGGTGAGAAGGCATGATTACGCGGGAGTCAAGAGTTGACATTTAAGTATATTCCTATTGCCGTTTTAGAAAATGTTTAACAAGTGTCCAAGTTTTTAAAGTTTATTTGACCTGCAAATCACTTGCTTGGCATGTCGGAGTTTGCTAAGAACAATGATTGTATCCTAGTTATATTGCCTGGTAATCAAGTGAAATTAAATCTTAGGCACTTTTATTACATAGCACACACACACACCCCTTTTTCGCCTGTGCATTCTGGTGGACATGTTGATATGTACTGAGGGATATCCTGTTTAATTGTTTGTACAGACAATATGGAACCCGAGAAAGCAAAGAAGTCGCTATTGAAGGGAGAGTTCAATTTGATTTGCTTCAGGTTTTGTTAGAAAATACTTTCCTTTCGCCCGTTATTCATTTTCCTCACAACTCATTGTTCTCTCGTTGGGTAGCTATGTTATGACCCTATCTGTGTCAATAGGTCATGCAGAGAGATTACAAATTAAGTTCGTACTCGCTAAACTCCGTATCAGCACACTTCCTGGGAGAACAGGTAATATTACTAGTATCTATATCCTCTGTATTATATATATCATGTATCAGGATTTGTTGTACAAGTAACAACACATACTATGCAAGCAACTGACGCTTTTCACTTCATGTAACAAATGAACTAGCAAATTAGTGGCTGGTGTTTGCACTTTGTATTTATGGAATTTAAGATGCTTAAAACTTGTCACAGAAACAAATTTGGTATGTAGGTTGTGGAATTCGATGTTCCTTTCATTACGCATTAGGTCTCTTTGATCAGCTGTCATGCTTATTTTTAGAGTTTATTTTAGGCGTATGACATTTTCTTTCTTATTATAGATTTGATGCTTTCATGAGGCCTCTTTGATCAGCTGTTTGTTGAGGTTTTTGGCCCCTAAAGGCATAGAGAGCTTATAGATAAAATCTTTAGTAGTGGTTTGCGCACTGTAATAGGAGTGTACAATGGCTGACTGACTTGGGTTGGGCGGTCTATGGACTGGGTCATGTCCAAAACCTTTACTCTTGGGCATGTGGCACTACCGTTGAGGAGGTTATTCCTTATTGAGGTCGGAAAGATGCCCAAGGATGTTGTTTATAGGTCAGGAGAAGGATGTTGTTTATAGGTCAGGAGAGTTGTGTAGTCTCATACGTGGAGGAAGGGCCTGTGAGAGTGAGGGCCAAATCTTCAACAAAACTTCCACACGGCATTATACATTTGACAATTGTATTTTTGGGAAGCAACTCTGTATAGAGGGACACGTGTATATGCATATAGGGATAGAGCCCCCTTGCATTGTGTGTGCATTTGACTTGCTCTTGAGGGGAACTTCTAGTTCACATAATGGGACTGTAGTTCCAGTGTTTATTGGCTAACTTTGATTGGCCAATCATGAGCCCCTGCACTTGACTGCAGGTTATGGATCCCGTTGAGTTAGTTTGAGAAGATAGTAGTGGATCATGGATCCTGACACAAGTGGAATGCCCTGATTAGGTACCCTATCCACTTTTAAGTTGTATTTTTGTGTGTTTTAGATTTTTTTGGAACTCCATAGCTCTTGTTTGCAACTTAAAATGTGTTTCAATGAGTTTTTGGGAATTTTCAGAATTTTAGAAATGAATTTTAAATGTAGAAAAACCCTAAAAGGGTATTTATGGAATTTTAAAAATATGAAGGTATTAATGTAATTTGTTAAATTGTGTGTGGGAGCCACTTGGGGGGACTAACGGCCTAGCCCAACATGTGTGGCACCCCAATTAGGACATCAAGTGGATCCCACTAAGGCCCACATGTGCCACTAAATGGGACACCAACTTTATGTGCCACCTGTTTTAAAATAAAGATAAAACAATGTTTTAAGTTATAAAATATTTTCTTAGTAGAAATATTTTTGATAAGATTGTCTTAGTGATTTTTTTGTTATCTAGAATATTTGATCAAGTCATAATTTAATTAGAGGTCCAAATTATCTCTTTGTAAGAGAATAAAAATTTCTCAATTATCTTAGATTGTTCTAAAATTTGACTAGTCAAAGTTCTAGATGAATTAGATGGGATATAGGCCAAATCTCAAGGGCTACGGTTTCTAAAGATTCATTCTAGATCGTGATGGCTGATCTTGGAGATAAATGGCTTAGATTTATTTTTTCTCTCACCTTATAGATCACCTAAATAATTCTAGATAAAGTTGAACTCCTAATTTGACTGGGACACCTTTAGTCCTAGTGGTCTATAAATAGGGGATTCTTCCCCTCATTCTTCACATCTCAGATCTCTCTCTTCCATGCCCTTCTCTGCCTTCTCTCTGATCTCTTGCTCTTTAAGCTTCTCTCTCATTCTAAAATAGACACGCCACCTCCCTAAGTGTTTAGGGTGGCACGCCACCTCCCTAAGTGTTTGGGTTTTGTGCCTTAGTAGCATGCTCTATGTTTTTAGAGAGTCCTCTTAGTAAGACCCAAGTCGTATTTGTTGCTCTCTAGCCTCGAATAAAATTCAGCAAGAGTGTCCTAGAGGTGCTTCCAAAATTCAGGTTTGAGAGTTCAGCATGATTTGGAATTTAAGTGCGCCATGGGTCAGGTGATCGGGTGTGGGATGTGTTAAGCTCTACAGGGGTAACCCTAGGCAAAAGCGAATAAGTCTTCTCTTATTTAGTTTTATTTGATGCCGTTTTTGTCTTTTTTTATTCTTAAAGTCTCAGTGTTATATTCAATTCAATAAAGTTTATTTTGGCAGTAAGTTTAGAAAGATCATAGACTGTAGTAGGTTGAATTTATTGTATTTGTGGCACTTGTAAGTAGAATTTCCAGCAATTAATAAAATAAATTTTTTTTTTTAATTTAGTGTCCATGTAGAATTCCAGGCTGTAAATTAAAAGTTTATTTATTTATTTTTCTTAATTGCAAGAAATTCTACTGCCCCAAATATAAGAAATTCAGTCTACTATTGTCTAGAATGTTTATAAACTTACTGTAAAAATAAAAACTATTGGGCTGAGTAGAATATTGAGACTTTAGGAAGGAAAAATAAGGTGAAAACAACATCAAATAAAACTTAATAAATATAATAAGGGAAGACTTACTAAATTTTGCCTAGGGATACCCCTCTAAGACTTAAAGCACCTGATTACCTGATAAATGAGACACTTAAATTTTAGATCTTGCTGAACTCACTAATATGAATTGGGAAGCTCCTATAGGACTCCCTTGCTGAATTTTTATGGGGCAAGAGAGCAACAAACACAACTAGGGTTTCACTAAGAAGGCCATCTAAAAAACTGGGGCAGACCACAAAGGCACAAAACCATAAGTGTAGGGGCTGGGCGTGCCCCTCTTTTCCCCCCTCTTTGCTATGCATGCCACCCTAGACACTTATGGAGAGTCGACATGCCACTATTTAGAGAGAGAAGCTTAGAGACAGAGAGAAATGAGACTTAGAGAGAGAGGCTTGGAGGAGAGGGAGAGAGATTTAATGTGTAGAATGAAAGGGGAGGATCTCCTATTTATAGACCACATGGGACTAGGGTGCCCTAGTTAAATTAGGAGTTCAACTTGATTTAGAATTATTAGTTTTTTTTTTGAAGAACGGTTAACTAACTTGATCTATAATTATTTAGATAATTTGTGAGGCGAAAGAGATTACTCTGAGCTGTCCATCTTGAAATCAGCCATCATGATTCAAAGTGACATATAGTAACCTTATCCCCTGAGATTTGACTCATATCCACTTCTAATCCATCTAGAACTTTGACTAGTCAAATCATATCTTAGAACAATCCAAGATAAACTGGGAATCGTGTTCTCTCACAAAGAGATAATTATGACTTCTAATAAAATTATAACTTGGTAAAATATTTTAGTTATTAAGCAAATCAATAAGATAATAATAATAAAAAAACTAACCAAAATATTTTCACCAAGAAAATATTTTAAAATACTTGTATGCTATTTTCTTTTCTTAAAAAAGCAATGTGCCAGAAAAGTAGGCATCCCACTTAATGAGACGTGTGGGCCCTAGTGGGCTCCATGTAATGCCCCTATGTGGGGCTATGCCCTTAGATCCCCATGTGGGACCTCCTCCAACTTTTATAAATTTATGCAATACCCTTGTATTTTTTTAAAAAATTCAGAAATAGCCTTTTAGGGGTTTTACACATTAAAAATTTATTCTCAAAATTCTGATTTTTTTTAAAAAATTCACACCAATGTATTTTTAGTTGAAAAACAATATTTTTGGACTTCCACAAAAAATAATATTTTTGGATTTCATAAAGAATGCAAGCACACATAAACCCAACTTAGAAGTGGATAGGTGCCTAATTGGTCAAAAATAAATAAAAATCAGGGCAATTCACCGATGCTAGGATCCATGATCCACTACTGTCATCTTAAATTAACCCAACAGACCTATGACCCACTGTTAAGTGGTGGGCTCATAATTGACCCATCAAAGTTAGTCAATAATAGTGGAACCATAGTTCTAATATATGGATTACAAGCCCCCTCCCCCCCCCAAGAGCAAGTCAAATGCACACATAGTGCAAGGGGGCACTCTCTCATTGCACATGTACACCTATCCCTCTATATAAGGGTTCTTCCCAAAGTGCGATTGTCATATTTACATACCATGCGGTAGTTTTGGTTAGGATTTTGAACCTTGCTCTCACATTTCCTTTCCTCCGCACACAAGAGATCACACAATTCTCCTGGCTTAACAAACAGGAGTGACCCATTTTAAGCCCTCAACAATAGTGCCACATACTCAGGGTAAGGGTTTTGGACATTACCTAGGCTGTAGATCGCCCAACCCTAGGTTAATCAGCCACATTACCCTCCCATTGAAGTGTACAAATTGCTATAAGTGATTTTATTTGCAAGCTCTCTAGGCCTTTAAAGGCCACAAACCCCAACAAAATGTCTTGTTCATGTTTAGGTCTATGATTACTTTGTCATTTGAATTTTCATTCCTTATTATAGCCTATGAATATTCTTGTCATCCCTTACGTCGTAACCTAGTCATTGAAACTTAACAATTTACATATAATGAATTTTCCACATTGTTAAGGTTGAAAAAACATTATTTCTAGTTGAACGTGGAGGATGAGATTTACAAGTGTTCTCTCTATGGTGTCATTTCTTCTTGCTACATGAATTATTTATACTTGAAAATAATTGTTCTTTTGGTATTATTAGTCCCATTCTAGTGTACCATGTTTTGTAAGCTACTTATGTCCTGCATTGCTTGACCTATGGGGTTTCACTTTGTCGTCTTTGGCTTGACTTGTATAAGAAATGGTAAATGGCTATGCATAAGAGCATCAAAATAAAACTGGGGTATATATTCTATTAGTACCAATGTTCTAAAAATTGACGATCTGGATCGGAACCGGCCAATCCAGGTTGAAAATCAGTCGGGCCGATTCCGATCTCAAAAAATATCGGGAATCAGCCGGTTCCCCTTATGAACTGGCTGGTGCTGTTTGGTTCTTACAGAACCTCCTTGTTCAACTGTGAACCGGCCACCATTTTT